ATTTTTTATCGTAATTTTATTAAAATTCCTCACCGAGAGCTTTTCTTCTTAACTAAAAAGGTAAAAATTTGCATACAATTTAGAGTATAAATTTTTACATTGCACCATAAAGTCTAACAAAATACAAAAACAACCGTTTAAATCAATTAAAATTTCGAAAATTTTTCGACCTTTTCATATTGACATTGAAAACAAAACGGAGATAGCAAAAAAATTGTCTAGAAATGTTTTTCTCATAAAGCACCAACCTACATTTATTAGTCACACTTGAATTCATTTATCATTTTACTATAAAAATGCACAACATTATTTAATTACAATCATTCAATTCATAAGTCTGATAACTAAGAACTTCTAATTTTTTAAGAAAAACAAAAAGCAAAATGAACTCAACAAAATTAATCAGTTTTATGATTTTAATTGTTTTAGCTGTAGTTGAAAATACACAGGGTCATGATGATCATCACTCACATCCTGCATATAAATTTGATTATGGTGTAAAAGATCCACATACAGGAGATATGAAACAACAATGGGAGACTCGTGATGGTCATAATGTAAAAGGTAAAAAGTTTTCTCTTTCAATAATTTCATTAAAGAATTAATTTCAAAATTTTAATAATTTTTATAGGAGCTTATGAATTAAAAGAAGCTGATGGTACAAAACGTGTTGTAGAATATCATGCTGATAAGCATGGTGGTTTCCATGCACATGTTAAAAGAATTGGACATGCTGATCATCCCGGTAAATTAAATCAAATTACACAATTATATTAAATATTTCATAAAAAATATATAATTTTTTTTTTTTTTATAAATTTAAGCACCAAAACATCATGGAGGACATGGTCATGCCAGTAGTTATGCAAATATTCATTTACATCATTAAGGTGTTTTCTTTAATAATTAAACATTATGTATTTACATAATATACATACATATATCGAAACATGAAATTCTGTGGATATTATTTACAAAATTGAAAATTTTACGAATAAAATAGTAGAAAATTTTTTATAAAGATTAAATAAATGTAAATTATATTTGTAAATTAAAAATTGATCAAATAAAAATAAACTTTATTAAAATTTATTATATATTGACTAACCATTATAGTTAATGTAATTTAATTAAAGGTGCTTATTTTACAAACATAATTAACGTAAACAAGACGTCTCTTAGACTTAGAGATTTTCTTAGATTAGATTTCTTTCAAAAATTAAAACTGTCGGGACTTGTATCCAATATCTAACATACCATTATCTTTTGAATAAGATTACTTTTATTACCAATGATACTATAGCACGTTACTATTACATTTACAAATAAAATATCATGAAATTTTTTTTTTTTAATAATTTCTTTATTGCATTACACATTTATCGAAAATTAAAACATGTAATTTTTTTAATTAATATATATATATATATATATATTATATCCTTTTTTATATACCTATATTCTTATATAATTTTATAATTAATATAAATGTGAATGAATGATACATAATTTTTTAAATACAGGAGTATTTCATCAATAAATAGATATAATATAAATATATATATACGATATAATTATAAATATATAATTAATAATAAATAAATACATACAATAATTGTATAAGAAATTTATGTATTTTATAATCTTATAATACAGATAATTTTTGCATATACATACATAAATAGTTAATAAATTTGATCTATTTACAAAAAAGACAAAAACCTCAATAAGATGGCGAAGGGGGAGGGGGGGGGGGGGCGAGAATGGGGAGAAAAAAATTTAAGTTATAATAAATATTATATTAATTAATTACTAAATATAAGTAAAATAACATTTTTTTATTTTTTCAAAAAAAAAAAACATTGTTTTCTTTTTATGTTGTTCAGGTGTAGTGAAATACACTAAATAATTTTTTCTTTTTTGTGATAAATTTATAAAGATATATTTCATATTATATAATATAATTTATTATTCTAAAATTTTTTCTTTGCTCTTCTATTTATTTTTTATATTAGTTAATTTTTTTTTATCTAGTATATTATTTATTATAATTTTTTGTTTTTTGCTTTCTTGAGTATTATTGTATTAAAAATTATACTGGATTATATTTATTAAATTTTTTATTAAATGGATTAATTATTCTTTTTGCAAACTTTTCTTTTTCGATTAATATATTTATTTATATACTATTATTTTTTCCTTGTTTATTATATCTATATCTTCGTTTTATTTCAAAAATTTTAATTCTTCTTTTTATCTGTTTTTTTTTTAATATAGTTTCAATATATTATTTATATATGTATATATATTTTAGAATTAGCTAATATATAAATTATTTGAAAAAAAATCTATTTATATTTCACGGTTTATATTAATTGTAATGGCATACAAATCTTCATATTATTTCGAAAAGAACTGAAGTTTCGAAAAATAAAATAATTTTTTTTACATTAACGCATATTACACAGATATTATATTTTTTTTGATTAAAAATTAATTTAGACAACGAATATGTTGGGATCATATTAAAAAAAAATTTAAAATTTAATAACATAATAATGGTTTTATATTAACTTACATTAAAAATTTAAAAATTTCTCTGAAGGACGGATTATATTTGGTTTTTTATTTTTCAAAATTGAATCCTTCCTAAAGGATATAAAAGGCCATATTGGTGCTATGTGCTATGTAAAAAAAAAAGAGATACAAAATTGTGTATCTTCAAATGAAATGAAATTCTTTGAAATAATTTGTACGTTCATGAAGAATTTTATTTTTATTATTTTCAAATTATTTTTATTTCTATAAGCACAATAAAATTAAAATAAAATTTAATATACGAACAAGAAATGCACATTTATGAAACCTCTTTCCAAAAAACAAAAAAAATATTTAAGGAATGTGTGAATTATTTACTTGATTCTCTTTATTATTTATAATTAATTTGAAATGCTTATTTGTTTATACGGAATAAATGTATTTTTCTTTCTTATATTTTTGTGAAGGACTATACTCGTATTATTTAAAAACTCATTGAGTTTATATTTATATATATTATAAAAATTTAGTATATAATATATGTATGTATATATGCATCTATTAAAATTATTCTTTTCTCGAAACTTTAGTTTTTTTTTGCTTATTTCTTCTTTTACTAAACAAAAATAATTTAAATAAATAAATAAAAAAGCTTAAAAGTACTAATATAAGTGGTTTGGAAAAGGAAATATAAATCTAATAAAAAGAAGAAAACATTTTATTATGTATGTATTTTAGTAATTTTAAAAATTGCTTAATAAAATTCAATATCTTGTGATACACAAAAAATTTTAATTAAAAACACGACTCAATAATATATATAATGTCAATGTCATATAATATAATGTTTTATACAAATAAACGAAAAAATTTTAAATTTTTAAGAATATTAAAATATTTTTGCTTTTATTCTGTACGTATAATATTAAAAAAAAAATTAAATATTGTAATACTATAACACACACCATGGTACAATTGAATTGAATTTAAATAAAAATAATATTAAATAGTTTATTATATTTAAATTATAAACGTGATTTCTACAATAATGCATTAATATCATTAGACATTGTAAAATAAAAATGCGACAGGCTAAAAAAAAAAATTTCATAAATACATTGTTTTCAAAATGGTTATTATTATTGGAATGCTCATATTAGATTAAATGTACATAAAAAATTATTTTTATACAAAAAATTTGTAATTGAAGTTGAATTATCAGACAAAAAAAAAACGTATACAATGTTTAATCAAAATAAAATATTTTTAAAACTTGTTAGAAATAAATAGCTTAGTAAAACCAGATTTATGTATTCTACAACAAAAATATAAAATTTAAATATATTTAACTTGTAAAACACGAGAAAAACTCCATTTTGAAATGCACAAGAGCACTGAAATCATCTAGTTTTTACTCTAAAATATTAGTAAATTTTTCTTTTTATGCTTTTTTATAAATAAAATTTAAAACATTACAAACAAAATGATTAAACTATATATACTTATATTGAAATAAATTTAAAATAATTTAGAAATTTTAATTAACACAAAAAAAAATTAATATAATAATGAATAAATAGAATTATTCGTTATCCACAATAGTTATACATAATATATAAATATTTAAATAAAAAGTTTATTAAATTAGAGTAATTTTAATGTTATTCGAGTTTAATTTTTGCAAATATTATTTCAGTGAAAAATTCAAATAAATATTCTTAATGATAATGATAAAATAATATTCTAAACTAAAAAATAAATTTCTCATTTTTATACAATAATATTAGTAATAAAAAAAATACACACAACAAAATCATAAAAAACGTCGATACTCTTCAAAATATTCACATGTATGTTATCTTATATGTTATATTTATACATATATTATATATATTTATTTACAATGCGATTTCATTTTAAATTCAAAACAAAGTTTTTATAGAAAACAGTGAATTTGATCAAAATGGAAAATCATAATTTAAAAATTATGGAATCACAAATATTGTTCGAACTTTCAATTAATAATGATTTCTTAAAATTTTTTGATAAAAATTTCCTGCAACGATAATAATTTATTTAAAGATTAGCCTAAAAGTTATAATAATGATATTTGCCTAAAAATATCTATAATTTGTTCAAATTTTGTTATAAAATTAAATAAACTTAATAGTTTATGAAAGTTTGTATTTCCATAATTTTTAAAAATATTTCATTTTGAAAATAATTTTATTAGAAGTGATGTATATTATATACTAAATAATAATAATTAAAAGAAAAAAATCATTTTTTTTACAATTGTTTTTTTTTTTTTTTCAATAATTTAACATAAAATATCATATTGAAATTGATAACGTCTAATAAAATTTCTTAAATGAAATTTTATAAGAATTAAATTTTTACTATACTTAAAACTTTTAAGCGTAATTTGTTTATCATTCATTACCAATTCTTGACCATTATTGTTAAAATTTTTATTTGTATTTGTTCGATTATTGTAAATTGTATTGATTTTATTTGAATTATATTTATAATCAGTATTATTGATTTTATTTGAAATTAGTTTACTACTGTTAATTTGTATAGAATTAGTATTTTTATTAATAATATTTATATTTTCCTTGTTAGTTCTATTATTTACTTTTCTGTAAATTTTATTATTACTATTAATTTTTTTGACTCCATTAGCAGATCTATTATTGAATTTATGATTTTTATAATGTTTATTGGTGCTATTTTTATAGTTATTATTACCGTAAGTAATACTCTTTTTATTATTTTCATTTTCTATATTAATGCTACTACTATTAGTTCTATTGTTACTATTACTGTTATTACAACTTATAATATTATTGTTATTATTGTTATAATTATAAATAATTTTATTGGGTATATTTGAATTGTTAGCTTTTCTATAATTTCTTTTATTACATTTACATAAACTTTTACAAACAAATCACATATTTTCATCGAATTTAGCAAAGTCGTTATCCCATTGAAATGAATCTTTTTTACATGTATTTGTCATATTATTATTACCGTTATTAATATTACTTCCGCCGTTACTTAAACTAACCTCGATATTACCGTGTTTTTTTCCATTGCTACTATCATGTGATATACTGTTATTTTCAACATTTTTAAAAAAATCATCATCCTCGAATGGATCTTCAGTTTTCTTTGCAAATATATTAACAGATTCGGATTTCCGTAAATGATCATGTTGCGTTGTGCTATCAATCGCACTGTTACTGTTAATGCCACCTCGATTTTTACCGCTAGATCTTAAATTATTGTTTCGTTTAATAGGAGTTTCCGAACTCCATTGACTCTCATTTTCAAAATCAAATTGTGCTTTTGAAAAATCATCGTCCTCAAAAGCATCGCCTATAGATGAAGAAATGTTACCAACGCCACCACTACTACTACTTGGTTGGTTATGATCGAATTTTGAAATAGTAACCTTGTCGTCAAATCGTAATTTTTGCGTAGATGCTGTAGTTGGTGTAACCTGTTGCATGGAACTTGTTGAATTTGAATTTGGAAACTCACCATCACCAAAATTAGAGGACAGTGACTGTTTGCCTGAAAAATCATTTGAGAATCTAAAACTTGATTTCGTACCAGCACTAATGGGGGTTTTAGTTGCTATAGAGGATGTAGCAGATGGTGGTAATTGTCCGGATGGTGGTGGTGAACTTATAAAATCTGATTCGAAACCAACTTGATCATCAAAATTAAATTTATTTCGGCCGCTGGAAGTTGAGTGAGGAGTTTCTTCAAAGTCAGCATCGAAATCAAAACGTTCACTTCCGAATTTTGGGGTTCTTGAATAACGAATATCTTTTTCAGAATAATAAGAATCTTTTTTACTCATTGAATATTTTTGAATCGGAGCGGATTTGGTAGCTTCAGCATCATCGTCGTCGTCCTCATAATCTTCGTCTTCATAACTATATTTTTCAGCAGTAACTGATCCACTTGTATTCCTTTTTCTATGTTCCATATCTATCATTCGCTGGTTTAAATCCATACGTCGTCGATTTAGTCTCTCAAATTTATCTTCGTCGACTGGTGGTCCTGGAATTGGTGATTGTGTCGTTACATTTCTCTCATAGTCATCATAAACGTAGTCATAATTTTCTCTATGCGAACCCGCTGATGGATATCTTCCCGTTGGAAGCGATGGCCGTATTTCGCTACCTTCTTTTCCACGTTGCCTCTGTTTTTTGCGGAATCTTTTAAAATAAATTAAAAATTAGACTTAATTTATTTACAACGCTCACAATAATAAACACCAACCTTCTTTCTTTTTCGCCATCAGAGCCTCCAGATTGATTATGTGACAAAACTCTTCTGTTTTCCGCCGTCAAGCGTCGTTCGGACTCTGAAGCACTTGCAGGTCGCTTCCAGTGACCTTTTTGCGCGTGTGTTGGGCCTTCTAAATTAAAAATTAATAGCAAATAAATAAATTTTACTTAATTATACCACTTACCTTCTCCATCCCAAGGACTCGAACCGCTACTTTTACGAATTCTTGATCCAGAAGAGGGTCTTTGCAAACTTCTACTATACTCTCTAGGTTCCCTACGAACTTGCATATCAGTTTCCGAGTCTTGTTCATACTCGTCAGGAGGCCCTCCGCTCAAACTAGCTGGCCCCCGTGGTTTTATCCCTTTACGGATTTGTCTAGTTTTATCTGCCATATACCTTTCACGAAAATCTTCTCGACTATCAAAACTACCGTAAACATCACCACTACCGAAACTTTTTCTTCTCCGACCACCGCTTTCGTACGAGTCAATACTTTCACGATCAAAACTGCGTCGTTCAGTTGTCCCAGAATAAAAATATTCTCTTGATTTATATATTCCACTTCCAGAATTTCTACCGACAGTATTATTATTATCAGGCGCAATACCTCCACGTGTAAATCCACCGTCATCATAAACATTTTCATAGTCACGTCTAGAGTACATCATTTTCCTATCTTTCACCTCAGGGCATTCACCATATGATTCAAATTCATAATCTGTTGGACGGCAATACTCTCTATAATATTTCCCTCTTTTATCATAAGCAATACGTCTATCGTATGAAGAGTGTGGAACGTGCTTGTGTTTATCATACATTGGACCACCATAGCTACTCCGTTCATAAACGCCTCTCTCAAAAGATCTTTCTCGATCATCATCATCTTGTGGAGACCAACTGTGATGCATTGTTCCACTTTGATACCAACTAGGGGAATCTATAAGGGTATTATTTTAAAACTTTTATTTTTTCGAAAATTTCTATGTTTACAAAATGTACCAAAATCGAAATTATCTCTGCTTTTAGAAATCCCACTTTTAATTTTCCGCTCTCTTCTTTTAGCCATTTCCTCCTCATACCTAAAAAGAGAATAATAAAGTGATTTATTTTGTTTAAATTTTCAACGTACTCATAATCATCATCACAGGAATTCATCCGTCTTGAATGTCTCATATAGTAACCATGTCTGTCAGGAATGGGATGAACAACTTGCCTTTTTTTATATTCATTCGGAGCTTCATCATCCCACGGGCTTAAGTCCCTTGACGACGAAGATGTTTGGCCTTTCGGCCATCGTTTATTACTACAAATACTTTCTGGTGGTAAACCTTGTCTGTTAATACCTGCAGTTTTCCAATCGTCTTTACCATCAGATGAACAAGGAGATTCACCAACTACATCTTTGGCTGCTGGGGTTTTTGATCCTTTTGAACGTTGCGGTTGGGACTGCCCAATTGTTCCTGGGGCTGACGAATTTTCTCTAGTTTCCGATGATTTGTCAAAAACAGCCCATTCAGAGCTTTCTTCTTTAGAAGTCTTCTTTTTGATATTCATGGCTCCGTTAGAAATATTTTGCTGCCCCATAGGAGATCTAGAAAGCGGAGACTTCAAGCTAGGAGATTTAGCTGTTGAAGAGTTAATAGTTAATTGTGAAGGGGATTTTTCAATGTTTTTAGCTACATCCGAAACCGATAATATCCCTGGAACAGTTTGTGGTGACTTTTGTATAGGTATCGGCGAGGTAGAGACGTCATTGAACTTGCTACTTAAAACGACATTGTTTAACGGTGATTTAATTTGTTGCCGATCAGATTGCAATTGGTTAACAGGCGATGACGCAAGTTCTATGTTATCGTTTATTATTGGAGATTTTATAATTGCTGGGGTCTTTGGAGATAAATGATCGCGACTATCTAACGATAAATTAGATATAGCGCGGTTCATCAACTCATCTATTTCAACATCATCTTTATTGCTTGACACATTCAAAGTTTGCATCAATGATGAAGTATTACCATTTTCTTTCTGTAAATCTAGAATATTGTCTTCAGGCTTATGCAATTCCGAGTCCTCTCCTTTTAATTTATCAGAATCGTAATTTTGATTTGAATCTGGACTACTTCCTGTACTAGGTAATCTTTCTTCTAGATGATCTTTGTCTTCTAGCTCTGCTTGTATGTTAGATTCACCTTTATCGTTTTCAACATCGTTTTCTGTTGACTCATCTCTATTTGTCATTTCATCTAAAGCAGTTTCAAAGTTTGTTGGAAAAGAATCATCTGCAAATATCGTTTCACTTGGTTTCACTTGAGACGGCTCGGTGAAATTGTTTTCACCAAAAGTGGCTGTAAACCCACTAAAGGAGTCTGAGTGTTGCGGCAATGTTTTAGGTTTTTCAAACAAATTTTCAACTAAAATAATATCCCGAAGTGCAGCGTAACGATCCTTTGCATGTGATATAGCCTCAGTAATTTTTGTATCAATAATTTTTGTTTGAATAGGTTGCGTAACGGAAACTTAAAAAATGAATTAGTCAAAATTAAGGTTCTAATTTTTAAATTTCAAAAGAAATACCTGTTTGCATCTTTTCGTCGTCACTATATTCATTGTCGAGTTTTTGTTGTTGAATTGGTGACGAATTCTCTTCATCATCATCATAAAACTCTTCGTCCTCTTCCTCTGGGGAGCTCTTGATTTCAGTACTACTATCATTTTTAAGGTCTTGATCAATAATTTCTCGGAAAACTGCATATCTGTCTGCTGGTGGAATACTTTTAACAGGTGGTGCATAATTTTGTAGGGAGCCGCTACCACTGGCAAATACCGCAGAAGATGCCATTGATTCCGGCTTAATATTTTCGAACTGTGAAAAATTTGCTACAAACGTTGAGGACTGGTTTAGAGATGATTCATCACCAAAGTTATCATCAAATTTAGCAATGAATGTTGCATCGGAATTTTGGTCAAAATTTACTTTGAATATTGGCGGACTTGAACCCAAACTTATATTTGTTCCAATTGCTTTATTAACAGCTGGTTTGCTAGAAATGGGTGCAGATATTTTTTGATGTTGCTGTTGGTTTTGCTGTAGTTGCTGCGTTTGAATCTCTTGTAGTTGCTGCTGTTGCCTCTTCTTTGAAGCCTCAATAAATTCAGATAAATATGTTGTTAATTCTACCAAAGTCATAGTACTCAGCTTAGAAGCTGGCACATTTAGTTTCTTCGCTAAATCTTCCACACCAAGAGTTAACAATTGACTTAATGTAATATCTGGTAGTATTGCTTCCGGTTCAAATTCAATAGGGTTAAGAGGTAAATTACTTGTTTGTTTGTTGACCTGATTTGTATCATAATTCTTAGTTTCGACAATCTCCTGCCGACGAGGCCTTCCACTTTTATTACTTTGTGGAGGTGGTGCTATTATTGGAGGAACTTCACTACGCCCTGTTGGCAAAGGTGCTAAATAATCATCTTCATCGCATCCTGAAAATAAGTTTGAAAAATATATTAACGGATTAAATTATCAGGTTATATTTATAAATTATAACACTTTATTTCAAATTCACTTGCATGTTTCTCATTTAACTGTTTATCTGTTATATAATTTGCTTTTGATTTTGAATTTAAAATCTTTTAAAAAAATTTATTTCCAATCATTTTGTTATTAGTTTCAATTATATCGTATAACAATACCACGTCCAATATAATATAGAAACTTCGTAATTTATGTAATTAGAGCAAAATACTTGGCAACATTCACCGAACATCGTGAAAAGCTTAAAAAGCAGAATTTAAATTTCAAATTACTTTATACTTCGTTTTAAAATTTCTTGCAAGCTAACCAAATTTATTCGCCGAACAGATTTTGTGCTTGAAAACAACATCTACAAATATTTGCAAAAATAGTTAGCTGATTTTACTCGCTTAGCTAGTAGCAATAGTTTTAAATCTTCAAAGCTTTAATGTGTTTTGTGATAAGTGCAAGCTAATATATCGCAATTTTACAATATCTTCGACATATTACAAGATTTGGATTTTGAGCTGGAAATATTGTAAACATTTAAACGAAATGAAAGCTAATATATCATTCTTGAAATTTTTTTCTGTATATCAATTTCAAACTCAAAATCAAGTATATATTTAATAATTAATGAATGTGTTTAATGATGTGATTGAATTGATTCATTATATTTAAAATAAAATCATACCCGGCTTACGTGGCCTGCCCGGACCAGGATAACTAGAATCACTACGTCCAATACGTCTAGATGGCAATGGAATTGGCGGTGCTCCGCTATTATTACTATCAAATATAGAAGATAATTGACTAGATTTCATTTTGGCTTGAACATAATCGTAACGTGTCGGTGGCGGCACAGCCGACGAAGATGTTATTCTTGGCCTAATGACAATATCAGAAAATTGTTTCTTAGGTGGCAATGGTGGAGGTTCTATCGAAAAACCAGAAGAATCTGGCCTTGGTGGCGGTTCGGGTGCAGTTTCATTTTCACTCAACGAATCACTTTCTTGTAATCTTCTCATATTGATGCTATGTGAATCTCTTTTTGAGAATTTGTGGCCAAATAATGGCGGCATTTTTTTAGTACTAATACTACTTATAACATCTACAGTATTTTGTTTAAACACGGATGGACGATTTCTAGCTGTTGCTGAATTTGGGGATTCACTTGATTGACGTTGAATGCGTTGACCGTATAAACTTGAATCGACAATGCCGGCTGTAGCATAAATATTTGATTGACTAAGATTTGTTGATGTGGCTGTTACTGTATTTGTACCCCAACTTTCAGGTGGTAAGCTTACTTGCAGTGGACCATTAAATACGCTTGGCGAAGAAGTTGAATCATTTGATCTTGTTTGTTCATTTAAAGTATTAGTAATCTTAGTATCGGGTAGTATATTGCTTTTAGCGAACTCAAATTCAAAAGGATCTAATTTACTAAAAATATCACCATCCTGAAATGGATCACTTTTTTTACGAGTTGGTGAAAACGGATCAGTATCATGCGCAATTACGGTTGATTCAGTCATTGATCCGGCAGCTGAAACTGCAGTTGTTGTTGAAGTAGTTGCTATTACCCGCTCAATATCTAAAGTCAAAATATTTAATCTTTTTTTTTTGTTTTGTTATATATAAAAATTAATTTTCTTAAACAAATGTTATTTTAATCACGAGGAAATTTTCTAAAGCTATAGGATTTAGATTAAACTGTATTTTTTATTGTTTTAACATACATTCATAGTATTTTTTTATATTCTGATTGATATCAGTGGTGAACTTTAAAATTGTTGTATATTGCATTAAATTAAAACAATTTAAATATTAATATCAAACCCGAATTTTTAATTATTGTCGAAATTATTGTAGAAACTAATTTTATTACATTGTACATTTTCGTAAAAGAATTCGTTTTATTATGATTGTTAAAATAACTTATAAAAATAAGCTGCCTAATCTTTCTATATTAAGTGAAAACTAAAAATAATTTTAAAATGAGTAAAAATAAATTAAGTAGCACATCATAAAACAAATATAAAAGAATACAAAAAATTACGTTTAAATTTAAAAAATTTTTAAGAAAATATAGTATGTATATACAAAATAAATAAGAGAAAGATTTTCAAAAATTTAACCCAAAAATATTTTTTAAAACAGCTAAAACCTAAAACTTTTTAAAAACTCCCTCGTCACAAAAAAGAAACATAATTCTTTGACAATAAGTAAAAATAATTTTTTTCTGAATTTTAATGTAAAAATGTTTATGAATATGTGTAACAAACTTGTTATATTGTGGTTTTGTGATATTTGTTCTCGTTGTAATTGTTGTAGCTGTTGTTGATGATGTTGTTGGTATGATTGTTGTTGTTGTTGTTGATGTTTTTGTTGTATTTCTATTTCAGAATTATTACTACTATTAATACAAAGTAAATTATTAGCGGTAATATTTCTAGTATATAAATCAATATTGTCTAGTAAAACGTCGCAAGGCTCTTGTTCTTGTTTTTTTTCCTGTTCTTGTTGGTGTAATTGTTGTGATTTTTCTTCGTGTTGTGATTGATTAATTATCAATGAAATATTTTGAAGTGTATCTTGTTCACTGTTGCTATTGATATTATGTTGCACTAATATTTTCTGTACATCATTATTTTGTTCACTTATGACATTATTACCAGAAACTGATGATGATGCCACATTAATATTTGATATTGATGTAGTAGTTTGATGTTGAGTATTACATGTTACGGTTCCAAGATTATTGTATGGAATTGAATTTGATGTTGGTACTACATTATAAAGCTGTTGTCCATTGTTCTGTTGTTGCATTGGTTGATGTTGTTGTTCATTAGCTGGTGAAATACTATGTGATACTGATCCTGATACAGAAGTTGATGTCGTTAAATTATTAATATCTAGTCCATTATTATTATTAATATTAATATTGTTATTATTATTTTTAGAATTACTAGCACCAGGAGTTGATAAATCCTTGAGAACTTTCTTAGGAGGATTTTTTAATTCATGGAAGAAATATTTTTTATCTACATACGGTTTTATTTTACCCGTACCTAGTGGATCAAGATCTGTAAAAGCGTCTGACAAATTGTAGAATACAAAATTAGCTTTTAGTAAAAGAAAGTTTGTTATTATTCGGTTTTTTTGTTATTTTTTTTTCTTCATAAGAGAATATATTATGTGGTTTTAAAGACAAAATATTAAGACAAAAAAATAAGTATTTTTTTTCAATTATTTAAAAATTTAAATATTTGTTTTAAGCTTCATTTTTTTTCTTGAAAATTGAAATGTTTGTGTTTGGAATGATTTATGATCAGAATGTGTAACAATTAATATGTGCTATAAAAAGTGCTGAATACAAACTAAACTTTGATTTAAAAAAATGTTTATTAAGAAACAAAAATAAATGGGTGATATGAAAAATTAAGTATATAAGTTATTAATTAAGCTTATATAATAATATTTTACCATAAATAGAAAATTATGTCGCATGAGAGAACTATAACTTTGTTTTTAAGTGATTTTCAATTTTGGAATAAATTATTCTATTATAGGAAACTGGGGATGTTTAGCTTTTAAGATAAATATTAATATAATGATTCAATTGTGTTATTAACCGAATATTACACATGTAAAATATTCGAAAAATTTAATTTTTTAGGAACGGCAGAGAAAGCTATTATACGTCGTCAGATTCGTGCGAATTATTTTAAAAAAAATGCCCAGATGAATTTTTTTTAAATGCAAATTAAGATTTATCACTGAAACGTATTTTGATACTTAATTATGATCATACCACCAGCAAGAATTTAGAAAAACAAAAAAACTAATTTATTAAAATTAAATTCTTGAAGTGCTTAAATGGATAAAAAAAATATGTTGAAAGGAATAAAATTGAATATAAATAGCATTTCTTGCACACATGAATAACAACAACAAAGGATTTTACATCCACATTTCCATGCTAATAATTAAAAATAACAGTAACAAAGAAATACACTTATAAAATAAAATTTAAAAAGAAAACCTTAGTTTTGAATGCTTATGTAAAATTCACAATCAAGTTTTTTCTTTCCCTATCTAAACGAGATATTTATCAATTGACAAATTTTTATATTGATTGATATGTTGAACTGATTTTTGGCAATTTCGACAATTAACCATTTAAAATATTTAATTATTTATTTAGAAAGACATAGGAAGATTTTTAATTTTATAAGCATTAAAAATACAAACTCAAATTTTCGACAAAACATGTGCGATAACACTTTTTCGTTTCATTTAAAGTAAAATTTAAACCAAAATGCAAAATTCCAGATTTTGATTTTATCTTTCAGAACGTATTTTGATAAAATTTTGATTTAATTTAATTTTAAAAGACAATAATAATATGAAATGAAACAAAAATAAAATAAAACAGTTAAAATTTAAAATAAAATAAATAATTTAACAAAAATACATAAATATCCTAGCTAATCCGATTTTAAAGATTTTCAGTACATACATACATACAATAAACACTTAAAATGTTCTTAAACAGAAAGTATAGATACATTTGTGTATGTAAAAATATATCATTTGTAAATAAAATAGTATGAAATTTTAAAATACTTTCAAATACACAATTTTAATTTTACATTAAACAAAACAGGTTCATATTACATAAAATAGGCTTATATGCTAAACCAATACTAAACTATTACAAATAAAAATAAAAAAAAATACAAAACAAAAATTAAAAAATATCAAAATGTAGCCTTGAAAACATATAAGCATCTGACATTATTCATTATTTCTAATATTAAGTTAATATAATTAAACTATAAAAATAATCACTTATTTTAAAGTATAAAAATAAAAATCTTAATAAGTTCTTATAACTATAATAATATCACATATTTTTCCTGCTTGTTTTATTCATTTGAATATCTTAAAATTATATTTGAAGAAAAAATATCCTATTATAATTTGATTTAAAAAGTAAAAAATTACCTGATTTTGCAATTTGTATCGGTAATGACGTTATTTGAGTTTCGTCATTATTTTTAACTGAATTGGTAATATTTTCTAAATTCTTAGTTGCATTTGCAGTTTCGCTTTTGAAAACATCTACATTTTCTAATTCCGTCAACCAATTTTCTGAAGTTTCTATATTTGTCGTTAAATTTGATGTGGTTGTATTGGAAGAATTTAATAACGTTGATAATGGTGGTGATTGTGTGCGACTTGGATTTGTTAAATTATTCGTTATACTTGATTCAATTGAAGCGTTCATATTATCAGGAGGTTTGGTCGGTTTCGAATGCCTGGAACGTGAAGACTCAGGTGGAGGAAGCAAGTTATATGTCTGAAAATAATATTTTTGCTTAAAATTATCTTCAAATATAACACTATATTTTAAAAATGAAGAAAATTAAAACTATTACAGGGAAATTCGTAAACGAATCGCCAAATGGGTCTTCTTCACCAAAATTCTTTGAAGTTGGTGTTGGTTCACTAGGCGTAATTCTTTCCATTTGTGTGATCCCCCGTTGAATTGAACTGAGTTCTTGCTCTAAATCTACTAAATCAGCAACCGACTCAGGAGACATCTAGAAATTTAATGGAAAAAATAAGTTAATTAAAATCGTGATGAGCATCCATTGATTTTTTAATATACCAAATTAGCCTCCTTGTTCATTGTTTTGGCTCCATCACTATTTTTATTATTTAACAAATTAGGAGTCGAATCATTCGAATTGCTTTTATTGCCACTACTAATAAGTAACGGCATTGGTTGATGATCGTGTACAGATTTGCTTTGAATTTGCTGCCGTGCTAACTCAATTTCTTTTTTTTTTAATTCAAATACTACTTGAAATAAATCACGCATAGCTAAAACCACCTAAAAATTTTGTCAAAAATGATTAAAAAGTAATTATTAATGAAATTTTACAATATTAATTTACCTGACTAGCAGCTTTGTCAGTCTTTATTCCAAAAAATCTGTGTCCACTATCAGGGGAACCAAAAATGTAACCAAAAGCTCTAGAATCTGTCATATCTTGTGCAATAAAACTAATTTTGTGCACAGGGTGATGGTACAAAGAATCTCCTGTCTTTTCATCTCGCAACCGCAATCCGTCGATCGTAACATGTATTGTTATTCTTTGTTTATGTTCGCCAGCAGCTCTTATTGCCATTTTTAAGTCCTGCAAAGCTTCTTGACACATTCTATCACCCCGAGCTTCACCAACTTCCAAAATTCCAATAAGTTTGGCTTTAAAAGTAACCCCATCACCAAAAAATCTGCCAGGATCATTACGATCTAAAAATAGAATTGAAATTATTTAGAAACTTTTTATTTTTCATAAGATCAATTAACTTTTTTGTGTTTCCAATGTAAGGAATGTTTTGTGACCACTTTTTAACATTTCCCGGAATTCTACACATAAGAATATTCGAAATGTAGAATAATTATAGTTACGCTCTTAATAAAAACTTTAATCGGATTAAGTCATATATGATTTTTGCTTATATAAATCGAGATTGTTATATTTAAGCCAAAGCTAGTTTAAACAAAACTTTTTTTGTACTATTTACATTTTATCCCTCTTTTTTATTAATTAAATTTAACTAATAACTAACTATTAAATAAATCGTAATCGCTAAGCTCAGTTTTTTTTTTCAATTTATTTTATTTTGTTTCCTTCCTCTATTTAAATTGAAAAGTCAAATAAAACTAATCAAAATATTATTGTGCAGATCTGCCAGGTTTTAAATGTCAAATATAAAATAGTGGACAATCTTGACATTACAAAAACAGTATTTCTGTCAGCCGTGGGGATAATCGAAAAGTCAAGTATGTCATGATCTATATGACAATTAACATATGTTGTTATAATTTAAAATCTACGAACAATCACAACATTAAAAAAGAAAATCGATTTTTCCTATAAATCGAATTTACAATTTTATAAAATTTTATACTGCATTTGATATTACGCATAAATTCGTACATATTTTTTATTTTCATCAAGCCTCATATACCTAAATTTTCAATCAAAGCGCTGTAAACTTTTCGGGTGATCTCTAAAAACACTATCAATACCAACCGTTCCTAAACAATAAACAGGTTAGATAAGCAGATTTGCGCTAAAAGCTAAAATTTTTCACTAAAAGTCAAAAATTTTGCTGCAACTCTTAATATTTCAATTTTGTAAATAAACCCAATAAAATCCAAATTTATGGGAAATTTATCAATGTTTATAGGGATTTATTATTGACAGTTGATGTTAAAAAAATTAACTGCTATTAAATTTGTGATTTATTTAAAAGGAAAAATATTAATTAATTTCAATTGGAATGATTTATACTTTGGAATGGCGGAAAGTGCTAAAATAATTACCGAGACACATTATAAAAATGAGATTGAAATTGAGTCTTCAAATATATCAGAGAAAATTTCGATATTAAGTTCTTTGGCGCTCCAATCAAATACTCAATGTGGAGGTACAAAACTGCCGACAATAAAAGACTTTGCTATTGTTAAACCTATAAGTCGTGGAGCATTTGGTAAAGTTTTTTTAGGATATAAAAATAATGATCCAGAAAAATTTTATGCTATCAAAGTAATGCGAAAATCTGAAATGATTAACAAAAACATGGTTTCGCAAGTTATAACTGAACGTAATGCTTTAGCCATATCACGTAGTCCGTTTTGCGTTAATTTACTTTATTCTCTTCAAACGTCTTCATACGTATATCTTGTTATGGAATATATGGTTGGTGGTGATTTAAAATCATTATTGACGATGTATGGATTCTTCGATGAGGATACTGCTAAATTTTATGTTGCTGAAATTACATTAGCTTTAGAATATCTTCACAATCATGGTATTGTTCATCGTGATATCAAACCAGACAATATGTTACTTTCAGTCACTGGGCATGTGAAATTAACAGATTTCGGCTTAAGTAAAATTGAAATGAGAAGAGGTATTTTTCAATGTTATTTATGATAACTTTAAAAAAAAATTAATTTAACAAATTTTTCAGATATTGAATTATCCGATCTTATAAATGTTTCACCTGCAAACTTGAATACAAGGACACCTGGTCAATTACTTTCACTAACCTCACATCTATCTTTTGGATCAACTGAGAAAAAAGTCGAGAAAGCTGAAAAAACCGCTTTGACCGTTACATCAAATTTTATGAATCTAGTCAATCAGTTGCATAGTTCTTCTGAAGAGATTGATGACAGGAATAACAATACAAATAGTAGTGATAGTAAACTTCTAAACTATCAAAATATCTCTGGTGTTCAACCATTTTACTCCGCAGAAGAACAAAGTCTTGAAATAAATACAGACACCGATTCTCCTTCGTCATACTATACTTGTACTTCGAATGAATCTATCAAAAATTCTGAGGAAATACCCAAATGCCTATGCAATAAAGTTGAAAAACAAAATAATATTTGTTGCAATAAACAAAATTTTATTAAACAAGTTCGGGGAGTGCTTATGGTAGACAGCAAAAATAAAATATACAATATTTCGAAAGGTATTGAAGATTCTGGAATAGTATCAAGTCAACGAGGAGATTATTCAAATTGTGACGAACTTCAAAATTTTATGAAAAGTGATTATACCACGAGTTCAGATTTATCGAAAAGTAATAGTGATAGCAACTGCAATTCTTTCCAAAATCCTATACAAAATTTTAAACACCCAGAATATTTGGGTGCTTGTGCAATGAAACGAAAGCGAAATATGTTACATCGTATAGAAAATATCACTGAAAGTTTTGATGAATCAGGAAGTAGTTCTGCTAGTACAGGTTTAACCCAAGAAATTGAGTTAATAGATATTGGTAGTAGTACCCCCAAAAAAAGGAAATCAAAAATTACACCATTAAACACAAAAAGCGTCTTAAAATGTGTATCGCCATCATATGATGAAATCCCAGTCACTATCAAAAACAATATTGTTAATGTTGCATTTTCAACTCCAGTCTCTTCACAAAAAGTAAACTTTAAAATTTTTTTTGATAGAATTAATTATATTTTTTATATACATTTCAGACTATTAGAAGGGCTGAAAATGGACTTCTAAACAAATTAAAAACAACGCGCTTTGTCTTACCTTTATCTATGGAAAATAGAAAATTCATTGACACAAATGAAAAATTTAGTGTAAATTATTCGAAATATGATGAAGAACCGGCAATGTCTCCAATCAATGCTGGAAATGTAATTAAAACCCCAAAAACTTTAAAAAATACACCTTATCGAACGCCAAAATCCGTAAGAAGAGGTCCCCAGCATGTTTCAGATGAAAGGATACTTGGTACTCCAGATTATTTGGCTCCAGAGCTTTTACTTATGTATCCACATGGTGCTCCGGTTGACTGGTGGGCTTTGGGTGTATGTTTATATGAATTTTTAACTGGAATTCCACCATTTAATGATGAAACGTCACAAAAGGTTTTTGATAATATTCTTAATCGAAATATTGAGTGGCCCCAGGATGACGAAGCACTGTCCAAAGAAGCTGTTTTAGCTATTGAAGCTTTGTTAACTATGGACGCATCAAAGAGACCAGCAGCTAACGAAGTAAAATCAATGGAATTCTTTAAGACAATCGATTGGAAATGTATTCAGGAAATGGAGGCACCTTTCATACCAACCCCTGATGATCCAACTGATACTGTCTATTTTGAAGCACGTAACGTAATTCAACATTTAAAACTTTCCAATTTCACACCTGATGAATGAAATCTTCATAATTTTTTAATTGTGTTAGTATAATATTTTAAATTATAATTTACATTGTAAATCTATTGATGTTGTTTTAAGATACAAAACGTTTCTTTTTTTTTTTGTTTTTATCAACTACATACTCATATAACATGAAATTGTATTATGAATATCTTTGTGTTGGAAGAATAAGTGTATGTACTATAATCTTCTATGTAGTCCGTAATAATAAACACTTTAATATCGTAATTAAACATAAGGATATAAAAATATCGAGATAAATATTTTAAAACGGCATTTAAAATAAATAATTTTATAACATAAAAAATTTTTCTTATTTTAAATTTTAGTCTTGAATTGCAAAACATTTAAATTAATTTATAGTCAGTATGTTTAATTGAAAAACTTTTACTAAATATTACTTTATAGATATTTGAAAAATTTGTTTTAAACGTGGCAGTAGCAATTTTTTGAGCAATTTCAATTCAAAACATTGTTAAAATGGCCACAATTTATATGAATATATACACGTTAAGAAAAGTAAAATTTAAAATTCAAGAACTACATTATTATTACAACTTTTGACAAGTCATTCATTACAGGACATGCAGTTTTTATATGTAAGACTTTTTATATTTACCTAAACTACAAACAATAAACCAATTAAAAATATTATTCAACCTGTCTGGGTTATATATATTTAACATTTCAACAACAAATACATAATTAAGTATCTAAATGTAAAAGCAAAACGTATTTTATGAACAACTTGAGGCAATGCGTTATATTTCATTTCTTTTTATTCTACTTTAAGACATCCTATGTCATATACATATGTGACCACTTCAATAGCATAAAGTTTTTTTTTATATTTAATTCTTAAATTCAAAGTTTTGTTTTTATCTTGAAAAATGTATTATAACTCTATATAACATGTATTTGAGTATATTATTATATTCCCAGTAGAATTTATACTTTTATAGCATGTTTTAAAAAAAATTTTGCAGAAAATATGAAAATATATAATGCCATAGTGCATAGGTACATGTTTTATTAATATTTTATTAAATTCGAAAACTTAATATAGAATAATATTAACTATTTCAAATTCATTTATTAATATCTAGTATTTATATATATTTAAATAAATAATGAAATTGTTAATTATTTATTGTAATTACTTTAAATTACGAATTCTATATAAAAATCAGAGTCAATATTGCAAAACTAAATTACCTATATGCTTGTATTTCATACTAAATTTCGCAAAATCAACCTTAAAAAGTATTACACTGACGTCATACTAACAAATTCGAAAGGATATCATACAAATTGATCGACTAACTAATAGATCCAAATCATTCGAAATCTCATCCAAAATTTCAAACTGTAAAGATTATCTGTAAATCTATACCAAAATGTTATTAAAAAAGAATTTCAATTTAAATATATGAAATTGTTTCCAGTATGTAAAGAATAATATACACATACATTAGTACATACATTATAATACAGAATATATACTGTCATTGACAGTATATAAATATTTATAATATATACGTATAACAATAATATTAGAAAGTAATATTCATATTAGGTAAATTTTAATAAGAAATTTATAATGAGAATTTTTTGAACAAAGAAATCAAAATTTTAATAACCTACTCCCTCATTTACTTTCATCACAATATTAAATATAAATTTCGTTGACATTAAATTTTTTTTATTACTGTTATATACATATTGGATATTTGTAATACATATACTACTTACATTTACATGGACTAGTTTTTTTCCGCAAAGTCTGCATTTTATAATGTCCTCTTTTTCCAGTTACACTTCTATGTTTCTTATATTATTTTTTTTTTAATTCAATTTCCTTCCGTACTTCAAATATTTTATACTATGCATATATACATACATATACTAATTACATGCATCGCATAGAACTTTTATATCTACATTAATATACATACATATGTACATATATAAATTTCGATCTAAGTAGAGGATAATAAATTGTTTTTAAATTTTTTATTTCTTTCAATATTCAAATTAACACTTTCAATATGAAAAAACACAAAAAAAAAAAAAAACAGAAAAAAAAATTTATATAAAATTTTCCTTTTTTTTTTGTTTTAGTTTCTTCTTTCTTTTTTATTTTCTTTCTTAATATTTTTATAATGATTATTTTTCTTATTGATTTTTCCTAGGAACTAATTTTTTTTTGATTTCATATAGAATTTTTCCTATATAAAATATTAGAAAATAAAATTAAAGAATATTAAAATTTTTTTAAACACTCAAGTGTTCAATTCAATTGGATATTTATTGTTCATAAATTAACTACATTTAATACATATTTATATACTTATATATATAGGTAGGTAGATAGGTATCTATATATCTACCTACGTAGGTAGATATATCATATATAAATAATTGTAATTTTTATTTCAAGAAATATTTTTTTATAATTACATAATTATTAGTAAATTATAAATTTATAATTCTGAAAAAAAAAAACAATTAAATAATTTTTTTATTATTTTTTTTTTTTATTTTATTTCTTTAGTTTAAATTTTAGAAAAAAATGTTCTTGCAAAAATATATTTTTTTTATAGAATTTTATACACATGCACAAAACTTAAGTATTATACAGTTTATTACACTTATATTTATACAAAATTTTAAACGGTACTTGTCTATATATGCATATGTATAACAGTATTTTTTTTTATTTTCTATGGAAAATAAGGAATTCTTAACATCTCCCGGCTTTTAAGAGGCAAAACATTTTATTGATTTTTCCAATATGAAATTATTTTATATACAATTTCTATATAGAAAAAAAATAAAAAATCTAATCTTTTATAATTTCATATTTTAATTTTTTTTGTTTTATTTTATTCATATACAAGTAAATCTGTTATATAACAGAAATTATTTTGAATTAAAAATTGAAAGTGCAAAAATTTTATTCAAGAAAATTATTCATATGAAACAGAATTAAACCACTGTTATACTGAAAATTTTATCTTCTCTTTTTATTTTTAGTAAATATATATAATATATATATATATATAAATTTTTTTAAATTCCATAATTAAGGATTAAAATTATTATTTAATAATTTTTTATTTTTAAAATTATTAAATTGAAAATTTTTTTAAAAAAAAATATTTACAAAATCTAATTAAATAAAATAAAATTTAAAACTTTTAAACAAAAAAATTTTTCTTCTGTTTTATAGTAGATCCAATAATTTTTTAATTTTTTTTTAATAATTTAAGAAATTTTAATAGCTAATATTTGATTAAAAACAAAAAAGAAAAAATTTAACACTTTATTTTTACATATTGATTTTTTTTTTTAAATAAAAAAATTTTTAAACAAAAAAAAAATTAAAATTATTTTGCACGCCCAACACTTTCTAAATACTTTTATGAAAACTAAAATGTCTTTTGTTATACTACTACTGGTTAGCGAGAAGAAAATTTTTAAAAAAGGACTTTTTGACAGAATGACGAAATGGTATTGGTTAGTAGGGGAGTATTAATATAAAGGAAAAAAAAAAAAACAATAAAAATTATTGAATTAGGAGAATATAACCGTGTGTAAAAAACAGAAAAGGATTGTTTTGAATTTTTTCTTTACACATATACAATAAAAAAAATATATGCGCACATACTTACATGAATATGTAAATACAATACAATATCTTCTCTTTTGTTTTTATAATTTTTTTTTGTAATTGATTGTTTGTTTTTGTTTGTTTGTTTTTACATGAACTATTTAAAATGTCAAATTTGTCAAAATAATGACATTATCGACTAAGTGATTGACTAAAGAGAAGTTTCACCTATATAGTTAAAATTTTAAACAGAATAAAAAATTTTAAACAGAATAAAAAATTTTCCAATGACATAAATATTTTAATATCATTTATTAAGATATGTCGCACATTTGCGAGGACAATGACATATGTCAAAATTCGGAGTCGTGAACTTGCTTTTATTACTATTTTATTTTAATATATACATAAAGCTTTTCTGTAATAAAATAATACAGAAAATTTGTTAATATATAGTTGTAGAAGAGTTCTAGATCAACGTTTTTTAGCCTTTCATAGTAATTTACACTCTGCTATAAATACTTTAAATTTTCGGAAGTTGAAGTTATATTTTTGAGTTGTGTCGGTATTCTTCCCAATATGCGATAAATGCTCTTATTTTTTTTAATTAGAGGAAACTAATAGGTTTTATATAATTTTTTTTTTATTTAATCTAAAAATTTAGAAAAAAAAAATGATTGTCTACATTCAAAAGTAGTTTGATTTTCACAAAATTAATGATTATTTTTTTTTTACATTCCGTTGTGTTTAATATGAAAAATGTTTTTTCGTTCTTTAATAAATTTGACATTATTTTCTATTTTCAAGAGTGAGATTTAGTCACTCTTTTCTAGTAGCATCAAGCATTTTTATATATTGCCCCATATTTTTGGATTTTATAGTCAAAATTATTTATAATTTTCATATTGTACACTAACAACATTTAAATTTTTAGTATAAAAAATTTAGATATATTTTATTCACCAAAAATGTTCGTCTAAAATTCGATAAAACATTTGAAGTGAAAGCTTATCTTAATCTTTTCCAGCTAGTTTAGTTGGATTTAAACTGACTTATGTCAATTTTCCAGTGTATTATTACACTGGAAAATTTAAAAATGGAATGGAAAATAGCAAATGAATGACACTTGCTCGATACAAGAACAAAACAAAAAATATGAAACATAACGTAAAGTTGCCATATGAACACAACCAGAAATTTATATAATAATACTCTTAGTAAATTTTTAGTTTATTTACTGTTGCATGATAAAATTAAGCACAATATACAATATTCATGAAACAGAAGTTTGTACAACCTTGTAATTTTTTATTGATCTATAATTTGGTTTTAAATTTACTCTCGAATTTTAAACAAATATAAAATGACATTTGTAATTAATAAAAATAAAGAAATATAGTAAACTTTGAGTTACATTAACATGCACAAAATTATATAAACTATCATTATATAATAAAATTATTTGTATTGACTACTTTGTTATAATAAATAACAAAGTGTACTCATTTAAATGAACACAATACAAATTTTGACACAAAGTTCAAAAATATCTAAATGTAATGTATATAAAATGTAACAATGTATTTAAAAAATAAAAAACGCATGTATTTATGTAATACAAGTGAAATATTATTTTAAAATCATTTATGTTAACATTTCAATTTTTCATTAGTTTATTTAATACCCATTCAGTTATATTAACAATTCGGTTGCCTTAATCTTTTCTGACATTAAATTATTTATAATAATATGTACAGTAGACTCCCAGTTAATTCAAATTATAAGTGGGAGTTTATAGAACATATTACTTTTCACTTAAATAGTGAAATACATATATATATATACATATATGTATTTCACTTTAATTAATAATATATAACTTATATATTATATAAATTAAAATTTGTTCATTTTAATTACTTTAATTTTGCATAATTAATATTTTTACTTAAATTTAATTGGAAATTTAATTAAAAATATTAATTATGCAAATTTGAATAAAATCGAATTTGTTTTCGCTTGCGAATTCAATCAAACTTAGATTTAATGATGTATTTATTTTAGTAGAACAAATATTTTCTTCATATACTCCAATGCAACTCAAACAATGTCATATAAAATCGAATTATATGGCAATGCTGTAATTTTTATAATGGATTCAATTTTGGATTCTCCAGTAGTCCAGTGTTTTATTTCTTTTGTTTCTGTTTTAATTTCCGAAAATTCTGATTCCAGTTTAATTCAATTCCATTAATTCCTCGAATAATAGAAGAAGAAAAAAAAAAGAAGTAAACGAATTGAAATTTTGGAAATTACGGATTCAGTGAGATTTGTGTTTTGAAACGTAAAGTTGATCTTAGTTTCGGTAAGAAATAAATTTCGGTGAATTTTATTTTTACATGCATAATTTTTCAAAATAAAAAAAAAAGAAAGAAAGATTTGTTTTCCACTCTACATTTTTTTTTTTAATTATTAAAAATTTCAAATCACAATATTGAATAAAAAGAAAAAATTATTGATAAATTATTGAAAAAATAAAATTAAAAATCTATTGAAATATTATAAAAATTGTGATAGAATATTATTCTAATTAGAATAGTTTTAAATAAATAATAAATAGCTATATTGTATTTTCAAAAAGGAAATAGGAAAAAATAAAAAATCGTGAAAATGAATAAGAGCTGTGCAAGATGTAATAAAGTGGTGTATCCAATTGAGGAGTTAAAATGTTTGGATAAAGTATGTCTTCTTCCTTAATTTATTTGGATTATAATTAATTAAATTAACAAATTGCTAAGTATACAAATATATATTTTTTTTTTGTTATTAAATTAAATTTTTTTGCAGAATAATTTTAGATATTTTAACTTGTATTTTACTAAGCCCATGTTATTTGCTGTACATCACATATACATACCTACATACATATATTAATTATAACTATTTTTGTAGTTATATTTGGATTATGTTTTCGGAAATGTTTATTGTTTTGTGAGAATACCTACATACATAATATTTTTGATATTAATTTTTTATTCATTACTGCTTTGCTATTGTACGATTTTTTTATTTTCAATCTGTTTTATATTTCTTTATCTTTACCTACCTGACTTGCGTGTCTCTTTTATAAAGGTATAAAGGTAAAAAATTAAAATTTTAATTTAAAAATGATCAGAAAAAAAAATTGTTTGACGTTAAAATTTAGAGATGGAAGAAAGTTTAAGTTTAAATTTCAATAATTTCAGAAAATTATTATTTTTTTTTCTTTTGTTACTTTTGATTCCACAAGTTTGAAAATTGACAGATGGATGCAATAAAATTAGAGAAGAGGAAATAAAATTTTTTTTTTTAAACTAGGTAGGTATGAGTATACTTTAAAACGTGTCTGTTGGTCATCATTACGTTTAGTTCAATTTAAATATTATTTTATTTATATATAATGGCAATATATTACAAATTGAAAAATTTCTTTTATAAAAATTTAATATTTAATAAATAAGAATATAAGTATAGGTAGGTTAAGTAAATAGGTTCCTTACCCGTTAACATATTTTTTCAATATTGCACAAATATCTATAAATAACTAGTTCTGTGTGAGTTCGGATGCCTATGCATATCTTTATAATATTTTTGTTATGGAAAGTAGAGTTTAAAATTTTGACAGTAAATTAGTGTTTTTTTATTGTTATATTTTCATTTTTGATGAAAGTTGAATGACCTTATCAACAAAAATGTATTCAATTTAACTCTATACATTTATATATATACAATAAGCTTTGTAAATATATAATTGAACTATAATTTAGTTGAATTAAATTTAAAATTTTTGTTAATCAGTTAAGTAGGTACCAAAACTAGGTAAGACGCAGGTAATTGCATACAAAATTAAAACAATTGTAAAAAATAATAATGTATTTATACTATTTATAATTAAATACACGCATTTAAAAATAATATAACACAATTTTTAAAAATAATAAATAAGTAGTTATATATATATATTAAAAATGATATGACAAAATAATATTATCTGTTATATTAATAACAAATTTATATTTAAAATACCTGTAACAATAAATTATATATATTTTTATGAATCAATATCTTTGTTTAATTAGGTAGTTTATATATGCCTATACATATACTTATAATATATACTATAATATACCTATATTATATACATAATTATTACATACCTATAAATTTTATTATTAAATATAACATATAAAATATCAAATTCCTTGTTTTATACTCGAATTTTACGTAGTGTAAAAGAGTATAAAATTTAGATAAAATAACAAAACAGAATTGAAATTTTTGTTATTATGATTCATAAATATAATTGCTAATTAAATAGGAATTTTTCATGATTAATTATTTTGAATAAATTATAGGTGTATATGTACTTATATTTACACTTTATACATAATATAATTGTTTAAATTCTGAGCTCATATTATGTAAATAGTTCCTGTGTTTTTTCACAATATTGCCTAAATCTTATGATATCATATTTTTTTAAACAATTAGAATTTAATTCAATTTTTTTTTTATTGATTACTCTTTAGTAATATTTCAGAATAAAAATATTTTTAATTATTTTTGAATATTATTTAAATAAGTAGACAGGTAGCATTCTGTTGCAGGTAAAATATTATAATTTTGGTTTTATAAAATTAAACGTAAAACGGGAGTTTGATATTAAGAATATCTACTCACTATTAGCAACATAAATTGTCAGTAAAAGATACTTAAACATTTGAGCATAAGTCAAAACTAGATAAATTCCTAATTTAATATTAGGAATAAATTAATTTCCTTTAATCTTTAATCGAAAAATCATGACTTAAAATATATTTTTATAAAATAATTTGATAAAAAACATTTTTGCTAAATATCTAAATTATTCAAAAAAATCTGGAATGCGATACGATTATTGTGCCTCACATATAAAATAGCCCACAGCAAAGTTGAATTTGTTGGGAAGTAAGTCAGTATTAGAGACACTAACCTCACTAACCGTTTTATTTATTAAACTTATTATATATCCCCATTTAAATTTACATATAAAGAATAAGTAAGTAAATAGTTATGCATTTAATTGGCACAATTAATTTTATAAGCCCATGTTGTACCCCTGTCTATGTACTAACTAAACACAAGTTGTACCTGATGTAGATATATTGTATGATGTTGTAGATGTCTTTACCTACCGTCTACCTATTTAAACTTAAATTAATTTAAAAATAAATTAAGCTTATCAACATTTTGTGTTGAAATATGATCAGAAATTCAAAGATCAATTTAATTCGGTAAGGAATTTTGAATTTTAAGGCAAATGAAAAACTTTATTTGGTTTTTTACTTATTGCTTGAGAAAAACTCAACCAAATTTTATTGTCTATTGTTTATTATTATTAATTTGCTTTAAAAGTTAAATTTTCAAATAAGTATTCTGATAGTTTAAATAGGTGCCTACCTAATATATCAAGTACTTGTTAAGCTTTCGGTGTATGCGATAAACATTAACTTAGTTGCGTTAGATAGTTTAGATGTGCTTCATAATTTTTTATTTAATGATTAAAATATTCGATATTCATCAAATCGATTTTGTTAAAATATTTTGTTGTAAAAAATCATTTAAGTATTAAAAATAATTAATTTTGTCAATTTATTAAAAATATGTTTTTTACACACATATGACGTATGAGTTTTAATTTCAATTTTATAAGAGCTTTTATCAATAAGTACATATACTGAAATATATTTACTTATTTACTTAGCATGAACGTTTATTACTTATTTTAAAGCGTCTAAAATTACACAGAATGTAATTTGTTTTCGTTTTAACTAAGGTAAAATGCAATATTTTGACATTTTATAAAAATATAGAAGCATATATCGCACATTGGGATGAATAGCGGCAAAATTCAAAAATATAACTTCGACTTCCGGAATTTAAAGTATTTATACCCGAGTGTAAATTATTATCGAAGGCTCAAAAACGTTGCTATAGAACTATTCTACAACTATATATGAACAAATTTTCTGTATTATTTTATTACATAAAAGCAAGTTCATGATTCTGCATTTTGATTTATGTCATGGCACTCACAAATGTGTAAGTATATAAATACAAAATGTACAAGAAAATATATACATAAGTATATATTATACAGACTTATTAAAAATTTTATTCAGCTGAGAACAAAATTTTTACTCCAAAAATTTCCCTTTAAACTAAAAATTTTTCAATAATTAAATAATTATAGGAGCTATTCTTTATTTTAATAAAATAAAATAAAAAACTAATTAATGTAAAAATAAATTAAAAATTTATTCATATTGGAATAATTATCAAATTATTTGTCCTTATTTTATTTATACATACAATTTGAATTTAAATTGAAATGCTCTAGTTTTATTTAAATTTTGTATTTCATTTTGAGTTTTTATTATAATTTATTTAACATAATTATTTCTTCGGTAAGTACTCAGATAAAAATGCATATATTTAAACATTTGTGTATGTATGTAAATAATTAAGCATAAACATATAAGGTTCATCAAATATAATCTAATCTGTTTAGTTAGTACGGCAATATTTGAAAAATTATAAATATCAAATTGATCTACTTATGTATATGAGTACTTATTTTTTTTTTAGCTAATTGTTTCATTTTATTACAAACGCAATTATTTTCAGAATACATACAATATCCTAGTACATATAAAATATTTATTTTATTATAATTTCTAATTGATAAAAGAATTTTAAATATTTTAATTTAAACCATTCTCAATAGACATGTCAATTTAATTTTGTCTTTTTTTTTGTTCTTTTAGTAAGAAAATAAAAAAATGAATAACTAAAGCGAAAATATTAAATAGCTCTCAATATACAACAATAAGAACAAAATAACAATAAAAAAAAATAAAAAAGAACGACAGAATGAAATAACATGAAATAAAAAATATAAATTAGCAAAAGTAGAAAATAAACAAGTCCAAAAGCTTTTGTTAAATTAAAGAATATAATTTAATTAAAATGGTATGAAGTCATACCGCGAAAATGCAGGAGGAAAAACATAAAAATCAATTCTATTTTTCAGTACTCACATTTATACATTGTATGTACATACATATTATATTTATATGCCTACATATACATTTAAAATAAAAACAAAAAATTGAAAATTAATAAAACACACAGAATAAAATACACACATGATAGCGTAACAAGCAACTCTAGGGATACAAGAATCACAAAGAAAGAGAGGGAGAGAAAAGAAAAAAAAAATTAAAAATGCATTTTGTCTACCCTCAATTTATGATATAAAAGCAGGGTTGCATCCTGAGGCCTTACTATGAAATTCGATTTTCATGAAACGATTTTAAAATTCGGAAAAATGGCCAGTCAATTTGTATGGCGTTTCCATTTCTTCAAATACGAAAATACGAATTACATAGTAAGGCCCCAGGACTATTCATATTTTTAGAATAATAATCGATATAAGTATAATTATTTATATATATACTATGAAGGTAGGACCAAATTTTGATCTACTAAAATTCTCTTCCTACATTTATTCTTAAATGGAATTAAGTATTGCGTATTTGATTCAGGTATGAAATAAAATTTTGTTAAAATGTTGATCGAAATCTACTATCAATACTAATCTACTATTTATTTAATAAAATCTAGTAATAAACTGTATAATAGATATCAAGATACGAGTA